CTTGACCACCCGCAAGAATGTTTGCAAAAAATCGTAGGATTCTTCCCAATTTCCATGCAACTTCTCCAATGCTCTTTGTTTCCCATACCAAGCCTTCTTGTAAGTAACTTGCATATTAAACTTATCTTTCAACTCGGCTTGAACAGTTAGAACACTCAGATTTGGTTGGGCACGTACCAAATGTTTGACGGCCTCAGATATCATGTCGACATCAAGATGGCGATGATCCGTCGGTTGAGTCGTACTGCTGCAAGAATGCACCAACTCAGCTTTTCTCACAGTCCATTCGCCCCCAACATCTCGACATCCAAACCGCACCATCCAAGGACAATTGTCATCCTTGTGCCTCAAGCATCTGACCTTCCATATTGAAGGTGACGACTCCACCACGCCATATTGAAAGTTGCGTTGTAGTGCGTGGTGTTTAATCGCCATCTGTGCAGCTTGTTTCGAGTGAAATATCTGCCCCTTGTAGAATTCTCCTTCAAAACTATCAACAATAGGCATTGGAATTACGCCATATGAATCAGCAAGTGCAAATTCTTCGTCCTCTTCATTGCCCTGCAAGTAAAAATATGGAGGATAATTAAGCTGCTCTCCTTCCTCCTCCTCCTCCTCCTCCTCCTTCTCCTCCTCCTCCTCATCTTCCTCCTCTCCGTCATCACCGTGATCATAGTCATGATCGGATGGCACGCTCCATGTATCATCTTCTTCCTCTCCACCCTCATCATCACTGAGCTCAACATGTATCTCAGCACCCAAACAATAAGGATTTTGTGCCATAAAATTCCAAAGCACATCCAAGCTATCATCATCCACAATAGGTAACGCATAATGAAATAAAACATCATTCTGCCATTCTGGAAGACGGTAAGTGAAACTTGTGATCACATCACTATCTTTTACTGCTTCGTCTCTGCGCCGTATTCTCGGAATTAGAGTCTCACAAAGTTTGTGATATGTGACTCTGGATGGAACCGTCAACTGAAAACTACTACCACCAACGAATTTGACGCCCAAATTATCCTCTACTTTCTCCGATATCCACCGAACAACTAGTTCAAATCTTCTAAAATCACTACAAAAAAACAAACTCACTAATTAAAAACTAAACACAATCATAATAGCATTTGAATAATACAATTACAAAAATAAATGTGTCTCTTACCTATTAGCCATTTTTGCAGCAGCAACCAGAGCTCTCTCCTCTATTTTTGGACGATTTTTTTTGTGGTGTGAATCTGAAACGAAATAGTCTGGGTTTTATAGGGTGGGTGGCCAATCCACCTACTCGCCTCAGTCTCGGGCGCCATCGCCGGAGTCTTGATTTCCCACCTACTCGCTTCAGTCTCGGGCGCCGCCGCCTGAGTCTCGGGCGCCACCGCCTGAGTCTTGAGCGCCGCCGCTGCCAACTAAATAAAATGGTCCAAAAACCAAGCTTAAGCGGCAGCGCCTGAGTCTCAGGTGTCCCCGCCGATTCTTATCTCTAAAACACAATATCTTTGTCAATAGTTTTTAACTTGCCTTATTCGTGGTAAATAAATAAAAAAACAATATTTCTGTCATTAACCCAAGGAATAACCAATTGATAATATAGAAAAATAATATTTTTTTTCGAAATAATCGACATGGTGAACTAAGAAAGTAAAAAAAAAAATACAAATGTAGACGACAAAAACACTAACACTCTCTTTCCGAAGGAAGGGAGGAAAATGGAGGGAAGAGAAAATTTAGAAGGAAAGGAAAATGTTGTTTTATGGAGGAAAGTGAAAGAAAAATATATTGAAAAGCGTGATAGATATGTTATTTTATTGGTGATGTAATAATAAAATAATTTAATTATATGTTGATATAATTTTCATATTTAAATAAAATACTAAAAAAAACAAATACTCATATTTAGTAATACCAGACCGCATTATACTCGGTTTGGTGTCATCTGATTCAAAATGTCGGTTTGGTCAGGTGCGTTCCTACTATTGCATACCCCTAGTCATTCCATGCTAATTTAAAAATCGAAAGTATATAAATTTAAAAAATTATCAAATTTGTTATTTCATTAATTACTTATAATCAATTAACAATGTTTACAATAATAGGTGAATAATTAAAGTAATTAATAATTAAATCAACAAAGTTTGATTTTGAAAGATGTCTGGTAGAAATAAGAAGGGTGAAAAAATGATGAGTAGACTTCTACTGTTCTACAGTGAAAAGTGGAACATATTTTCCCTCACCTTCCCTCTCCTTTGCTTTAAAAAAATAGGGTAATATGCTTTGAAAATTGTGTTTTCCTCCACACTTTTCTTTCCCCCTCTTTTCCCTTGCAAATTAACATAGCGTAAGGATTAAGGGGTCGTTTGCTTCAAGGATTTGGTACATGGATTTGGTACCAAAAAACCAACTATCAAGGATTTAGGTACAATCCCTTAAAATCCGTGGACCCCACGGACTTATAAATCCCACATGTTGATGTGGGATTTGGAATATGACATAAATCCTTGATGACATTTTACCTATATACCCTCATGCACTTTTAATATTCCAAGGTTGCCCTCAAATTTAACTATTATACATTATAATTAACAATAAATGAATAATATAAACGTTCAATTAATGTGCAAACATGAGTTAGATTTTTTATATAATTTCTTGTGTTCTAGTTTTCTTTGACCTTTTCATGGAACGTGTAATTCATTGTTCTCCCGATTCTAATATATGTTGTTATATGTTACTTTTGAAAAGGAGGACAAAGAATTGGTAATTGATTATGTTACGTTAAAAGTTAAAACGAAATTTTCTCGTTTATTATTATTGTCCATGTGGCAACATTATGCGTATTAGTATGTATTGTCCTTGTTTTGTGTACATATCATAAACATGTCAAACATATAGAAAATGATAGTAAGGTAATTTTGAAGTTTTGTCCTTGTTTTGTGTACATATCATAAACATGTCAAACATATAGAAAAGGGCAGTAATGTAATTTTTGACTTCAAGTAGTAAATCCCACACCTTTAAATCCATGATAAAAACATCCCAACAAACAAAGGATTGTTACAAATCCATGATGCCTCAAATCCTTGATAAATCCTTGGGTTTTTAAATTACAAAACCCTCGTTTATAAATCCATGAAGCAAACGACCCCTAAGAAAGTATTAATTCCACAACCATGGTCACTCGTTGCTACTCCACTAACCCATGAATAATCATCGTTGTGGGTAGGGGTGGAAGTTTGGGTTGCGGGTAATCCACAAACCGCACCAAATCGCACACTTTGTGGATACCCATACCCACAATTTATGGATAGCGGGTTGGGTGTGGGTAGCAAAATATTTATTTTTGTGGTTAGTGGTTACCCACTATCCACAGCGGTTTACCCACAAATCCAGATTAACCACATTAGTTATATTTATTTCTTCAAAATACTTTGTAACCCTTATTAACCACATTAGTTATATTAGTTTGTGAAACTTGGAAGACTAAAAATTAAAGTAGCTACCAAAATCAAATACGCACTTATTTTATAAAACAAAACCAAGTCAATACGCAATGTTCATGTGATATACTTTTATCAAATAAGCATTGTCTGTGTGGTATATTTTTATTTTATAACAAAATCAAGTTCATAGATATAGTGAGATAAATTAATCGATTCGTTAAAAGAAGGGAATAATCGATAAAGATTAGTCTGATACCCAAAATCATCTCCATTTCTCCACGAATTCATGAACAACACAACATGCAGCCAGCTACCAACAATACAATACTATAATCGAGAGTGGAGAATAATCAATTCATTAAAAGCGGGCGCCTCCACTTATCGAGCCACTTTTGTGTTTTCCTATTGTTGCCATTGGGGGAGCCGTGACATGCAACTATGTTTGTCTGGTAACAAGTCACTATGCCTCTCCGTTATCTTCAAACATCTTTTCCAAATCCATCTCTTCTGAATTTACACTAACTAACCTATTGTATTCGAGATTTATAATTTATTTAACACTTTATTAACTTTCTTTTATGTATGTTTTTGTTTGAGAAGAAACACAACATCACTATTTAATTACCATATTATTATATTTAATGTAAAATTTTTGTGGGTATCCATAACCAACCCGCAGCGGGTAGTGGTTAACCACTACCCACTGCGGGGCGGTTTGTGGGTAGCATAATTCTATATTTGCGGGTGTGGTTACCCGCCCCAATTTCCACCCCTAGTTGTGAGTGCTCGGATTGAGTAAGCTTTGATAGCATGGACACAAATTGAGTATTTAATCACATTTTGCGGGTAACCACACCCACCCCAATTTCCACCCCTAGTTGTGGGTACTCGGATTGAGTAAGCTTTGATAGCATGGACAAAAATTGAGTATTTAATCTTATGATTAAAAGACAATAGGATCAACCCTCTATACACCCTTTGGTTATCATATATAAATTATACAGTTGGTAAGAAAAGGCAAATGAACATTTTTAGGCATAATTTTCCTAACCAAGGGATAATGCAATTTTGGATATGAATTTGAAATACAATTCAAGTTACTTGTGTAGTTGTGTTCCTACGAGGAGTGTCCATTAAGTTGATTATATGCATAGTTTTTCTTTTTTCTTTCTGGGAATAAATTGATTGTAAAGCTGGTTGAGTTTTCATCAAACCTGCATCCAACCCAACAAGTCAATTTCGAAAAGAATTTTACCCACACCATACTTAATTTTAACCAATTATGAGTCATACCCAATTTGACAGGGTCAAACCGAATTAGGCACCCATAAGTCCGAATTCAACCATCATCCCTTAACATCACCTGTCACCACACTTCCGAAACGAAAAGTGAGCTAAACTGAACCAAACCAAACCGAATGCCCACACTCGTACCCTATGTTCATCCCTAATTTCCTTCGCATGCTCAGATGGGCTTGGACGGGTTAAGAGAACCAACACAGAACGGGCCTAAACTCATCCGCCTTAAAACCATTGAAACGGGCCCCTCTTTTACAGCAACGAAGCCCAAAACTACCATGAACCCAAGTTCTAAGCTGCTCTACTCATAAACCCGCGCTTCGTTGATTGGTTTCATTCCCCCGCCTCTCCAAGACTCCAACTAGAGCGACGAGCTCAATCGACTGGCGGCGACGGCGATTTACCTCCGATCTCAACTCTAGTTTTCTCAGTACTCCGCCGCAAGATGAAGCTCGTTAGGTAAATTCTTCTCCTTCTCTTTTCTCAACTCTCAGTTTGGAGTACTCTTTCCAGCTGTGTAGCAAGCAAGCGTCTCGATTTAGGAATCTGACGAACGTTCGTTTTTGTGCTTGTTCTAGGTTTTTGATGAAGCTGAACAACGAGACGGTGTCAATCGAGCTCAAGAATGGAACTGTGGTTCATGGAACCATCATAGGTTTTCCCTCTACCATCTCTCTCGCTTCTTGTTCGCATTTCCGAACTTTTGCTAGTTCTAGGTCTTCTGAATAAACCCTATGTTTTTTTTTTTTCAAATTTTCAATCCGGGCTTCGTTTCAGATGGGGCTATGCGTTTTGCTTGTTTAGAATGGTCCTGGCTCTAGCTTTTGTCTTTGTTCAAATGTCAGCTGGTCAATTTGGGAGGAAGACTGTAGATGGTAGAGAACAATGGATTTTTGCTAATTCTGTTGCTGGGATTGAATGTTATGTAGGGGTTGATATTAGTATGAACACGCATTTGAAGACGGTGAAAATGACGCTCAAGGGGAAGAATCCAGTGACCCTCGACCATCTAAGCTTGAGAGGCAACAACATTCGCTACTATATCTTGCCGGACAGCTTGAACTTGGAGACTTTGCTTGTGGAGGAGGCTCCGAAGATTAAGCCCAAGAAGGCTGTTGCTGGTACCATGCTAATTTCTAAGCAATTCATTGGTTCCCTTTTCCTTTTGATTGTTTTGCGGTTGGATGTCTTGTTTTAGTAACTCAACTGTGTGCTTATGTTGCAGGGAGGGCTGTCGGACGTGGCCGAGGGAGGGGTCGTGGAAGAGGCCGTGGTCGTGGTCGTTAAATCGTCTTTAATATGGCTGCGCATCAAGTTTCCAGGATCAGTTAGGGACTTGAGAGAAGTGAAAACTCGTTGTAAGTTTTGATTTGCGCTTAGAGAATTTGAATTTGGAGAAAGAACTGCCTTCAGCTCTGATATGAGTTTATGTCATGAGGTTTGGGTTGTTTATATACTGGTGTTTGTAGACGTGGTAGCTAATAGTGCAAGTTTGGAGGAAGTGTTGAGATGGTGAAAACTGCAGCTTTGTAGGGCTTCGATTGTTTGATTCCATTGATGCTGCTTTTTCTTCCGAAAGACTACTGATCATGTACTATGCTGAAAGACTTATTTCCGATGAAATTTAACAAGCATTTGTGCTGCCTATGTTCTAGATCGAGTTGACCTTGGTTGTTATTCCCTGGGTCCAGGTTTAGATTATGGAATCCAAAACAGGGTTTCCTTTGAAGTGTAATGCTTGACTCGAGAAAACTTGTTTTGAACCTTAATTTAAGGCTGTGTCTTGAGCAGAAGTAGATCAATTGCCAGTATGGGCAGATGGCATCTGTTAAATGTAATCGTTTGCAATGCTCTCTGAAGAAGATAGTTTCTAATTCACAATGGTTTCATTTATTCATCTACTTGACTTGTATAAGGCTTTGAAATGCCCAATTCTAAGCTTACAGCAAGATCCATGTGGAATAACAAAACAACATGACTAGAGAGCCTACAAAGAGCGAAAAGAATCCAGAGATGCATTAAGCTCCTATATTTAGCCGCAACACGGTGCTCCTTGAGTAGCTGAGCCACTTCCAGTAGATGGTCCAGACTGTCCTCCATAGCCAAGCTTGATCCCATAGGACTGCCAAACATACACCAGAATAACAAGGTTATAACGAGGCCTTGCGAAAATGGCAAGCGAATCTAGTGTCAGAGGAGCAAGGTAGATAGAGCTTGTACCTCATTCGATATGTCAAGAACACCATCCTCAATCTTCTTGTAGATCTTACCGGCGGTGTTTATGAATGCCTGCAAGATAGAGATGAGATGATCAAGAACTGTGGGGGGAGCTCAATATGCAAAGAGATGATGAGTAACAAAGCAACATTACCTCCTCAACGTTCTGGGCGGTTTTGGCAGAAGCCTCCATGAACACCAGACCGTTCTCTCTGGCGAACTGTTCCCCTTCTTCAGCACTCACAGCTCTTCTATGCGCGAGGTCACACTTGTTGCCAATGAGCATGATTGTCATGTTAGAGTTCGCATGCTGTCGCGCGTCCTCCAACCAGCTGGCCAAGTGATTGAATGTTTCCCTCCTGCAAAAGCAACAAATAATGTCGAATGTGTAACTCTGGGATAAATGAATCCAAACGGAAAAGATTGCATCATTGTAAAATCATCTTTTGGCTGCTGCTAATCGAGATTTGTACTGTGTGATGCCTCTGCTAAAAGAATGCACAAGATGAGAATGGATGTAGAAATAAACTATACCTGGTAATGTCATAAACTAGAAGTGCTCCAGCAGCTCCTCTGTAGTAAGACCTTGTAATGGATCTGAATGACTCTTGACCAGCCTAGTAAAAGAAAATCCGAATTGTTTGTCCAAACTTCTCATCCATGAAAATACAAGAAATAGAGGATCCAGCATATATATTATGAAAAGCTAGACCACACATATAAAGGAGCATTTCTGAATCCCACTAACTGCAGCCAAGTCATAACATCAAAGTCATAGTCACTTGGATCTACATAACAAAGGACTTTGGATGATCCTTTGAATACAAAATTGCACGAAAATGGTTAAGATTGGCTTACTCAAGAGCTAACACCGTAATACGCAGAGCAATCCTTACTCCATCAGGATTCCAGTAAGATGAATAATGCCGCAATCAGAAGCATGAAATAACATCAAATCCATTTTCAAAGGGAAAAAATGAGAGAGGCCAGAAAGCAAACCGTGTCCCATATTTGCAGCTTGATCTGTTTGTTATCGATATTGATCATTCTAGCTCCGAATTCGACACCAATCGTCAAGTCGTGAACTGGCTGAAACCTCTTATCAGTGAATTGCAGTAGGAGACATGATTTCCCAACTCCTGCAGATATCAACAAAGAGCCGCACATCCAATCCTCAATACAACACAATCAAACAATCCAGTACTTCTAGTAGTACTATCTGCCAATAGCGAAAATGTCCCATCAAAACTGAATTCAACAAGCAAAACACCGCGATGCTCTTTAATCAAGAAAACAAGAACAACCCATTTCACGAAATCGAAGAAAACCCCGACCCATCAAAGCCAATTCGTAAAGAAAAACCGACACTCGAGCATTCAGTCTCTCGTCCATCTACTCTGTAACATCAGCGCACAAAGAAAGAAAGAAAGAAAGAAAGAAAGAAGGGAAGGAAGAAAGCACGATTGGGCGCCATTGGTTTACCTGTGTCCCCAATGATAATGTACTTGAAGAGATAAGCGTACGACATCAGGTATCTCTTCCCGTTTCAGAGTTTCCGGCTGATAAAATTTGACGCGGGGGTTACTGTCGGATCTTGCTCGGAATTTGAGATTACGATTTGGTGAACTCCATATAGTACGATTCCCGATTAGGGAACCAATGGAATGAAGAGAGACAGTGAATTTGTCCTCTTCTTCTTGGGTTCCTTAGGAGCGGGTTCGTGTAAATCGTTGGACGAAGAAGACGCTTCGACGATGATCTGTTCCTTTTCCCGATTGATGATGAATCGCATAACATTCACGAGCCTCCTTGCTGTTTGCCTTCTCTTCTCGTCCGTTTCTTTTAATTTTTCTTCATCATTTTGTATTGGGCCTTTTCCAAAAAAAAAAAACCATATCGGCCCATTACTCTTTGGTCCCCGGCTTGGTTATAATTATATACACTATTGGATTGGGTCTTCAGGTTGAAAGTTGACACCATGATTCTCATCCGGATACCGTACCCAAAAAGTCAGCGTTAGGGTATTACATAGTAAAAAATTTGGTTTATAAACCGTAGTTCAACTGTTAGTACCGTTAAATACCGTCTACCAGTTTAGCCTCTGATACTGGTATTTACTATTTTGTGACTGAACCGCCGGTACGGTACAATTTCATGGACCATGATTGAAACTTGAGCACAAAGTTTTTTTTTTTTTTATAATGGCGATTGAATTAATAATGAAGAAAAATAAAAAGAGTGCAGATTCAGGGGAACTGAACCACGAAAACAACAAACAACACGAGAACACAAAGAAGAAAAAAAGAAGGAACATACTAAAAGGAAAACTAAGATAGAAAGAATAGGAGGAAGAAGAGAAGTACAAGAAACCGCCAAGCGGAGGAGACCACTCCCGCAGCAAAAACTAGATTACATACGAGAAAGACAGTCAATCATCCAATCAGCAGCAGTGTTCTTGTCAATTTTGGCGTGGGCAGAGACCCAAGAAATGACAATTTTAGAGTCCCTGAAGATGCGCTGGTTTCGTTGAGCACAAAGTTGTAGAATGTTCGTGCTAAATTTTCTATACAACGACCATTTCAAGGAGCATGCATTAAATTTCAAATCTTAATCCCTAACTTATGATTATTTCAGTAATTCATGCATTTCTAGTTGGAAATTAACTTACTATAGTGGTCAACAAATAAATGCATGGAGGAAATATGGCATAAATTTTTAAAAAATGATTAAGATACAAGTAAATCATAATTTCTCATTGTTCGGATTAGTGTATTTTCTTATTTATTATAATATAATTGGGAAATATAATCATTTTGAGATGAATTAAATAATGCGAAATGTGTACAACATGTATAAAATAAGTGGCCGAAAACAAAACTTGTACTTTGATTGTGGAATAATAGGATTATTATTACAAAGACCGTGGGAAGGTTGTCATTACTCATTATTATGCATATATATGAAGGATTAATGATTGCCACGAAATAATTGACGAAGCCGCATAATATTTTGGCTTTAAATTGCAGGAGAAAAAAACAGGCCACCATAATTATTGCGAACTATATATTTGGCCACCATAATTAACATCAAATATACGAACAAATGATGAGGATCGATTTATGATCTATGTATTTAGCCGTCTGTCACCTTTATCACAATTCATAGAGAATCATGCACACTTCCTAGTCTTTTTTTTTTTTAATTGGCTACAAGTACTTCACAATGATACTATGTCAAAGGGGGTTTTATTTTTATATTCTTGTCTTACTTGTGCTCGTCATTAGAATACAATAATACATTGATATACTAGCTATAACATACTAAAAATCACAGTGAAGAATAAGTTCTATATATCTTAATAACTTTTGTACAAAATCTTGCACGCACATCAAGTTTGAAGTCGACAATCGCTTATTCAATCATGTATTAAATCGACAACTACTAATATTGGAACAATTAATACATAGATTAAGTATGAAGCACTTAATGACACATTATGCGAAAAACTGATTCTAACTCACATGTATGCTCTCTAGGGCTAGCTATCTGGTCAGAGCTTTTTCATTTCGCATAACTTTTTAAGGACTAAAACTTTTATCATAATCATTATTTCGGAATGTACGTGGATTGGTGAAAAGGGAAGATAACGTTATTCCCAAAACCTTGTATATCCAATAATAATTCCTGTTTTGAAAATTTCTTCCTAGTAAAAATTGTAATCCTTCAAAAGTTACGCAAAATGAAGAAAAAAAAGTTCATGACGTTCGGATTTTGGAGCACAAAGTTATAGTTGTTCGAAGTTATTTACGATTGTTAGCGTTCAAAGACTACAACTTTGTCAATATGTAATTGTCTCAACAAAAGATTTGTAGTTTGGTGGTGAAGATGTTATGTTAAATTTAGTTAACTATTTATATATCATGGTTCAAACCACCACCACACAACATGTCGCTTTTTTTAATCTCTACTAAATAAAAAGATTTAATATGGGATGATGGTGTTTCAAAGTAAGGACCTCTTGGATACAAAGGAACAACTGAACCAGTTATGTCAAGATCACTAATGGTGATTATTTGAAAAAAAAAGATTATTACAAACCGCCCCCGGGACTGCGGTTTGCACCCGAACCGCTCCGGCCCCAAGCGGTCAGCAAAACCGCCCCGTAACCGTGCGGTTTTCGTCGAAAACCGCGCCCCCACCCTACTATTTTCGAAAAAGGTGTTATTTTGGGAATTTTTCGGGACTGGGTGCTATTTTTGGATTTTTTTTTAAACAGTGCTATTTATGGAAAAAGTCCTCCAATCTTTGGTACTTATATTATCGAAACCAGATCAATCTGGACCAATTTAACCGGACCGAACCGTATAGCCACCCCTAATGCTCTCCCTTCAAACTTCATATATGCTAAAGTGATTAACGGACCTCGAAACTGACACCGGATTTAACATCGATCTAACCCTTGCTTCCTCCGAGTTTTCTTTGGCGAACATTTGCTTTTTGCCATGCATGCATTAACTACATAGAAAGGCAAACCTCTCTCGACTATGTAGGTGCTACAAGCTACGTACATACATATTTGGGTCACTCCCAAAAAAAACGGGCAAACTTACTAGAGTACGATTTCCTCTTTGTTTTAGAAAATTTCCCAATCGCATGTGCATGTGGGGATCTTCTTCTTCTTCTTCTTGCTCCAACCCTCATGCTCTTTTATGATCACAAGTCCCCTCCAAATAAAGTTTCCCACTCTAGTGGTGATGGTGGTGGTGGGGGAGACGATCGAGTTGTAATGAAGATATGAGAAGAAAAGAGAAGAGAAAGAGCAGAATATATTTTTTTTTTTTGAAACAGGGAATTAAAGGAAAGGTGGTGCAGTACTGCAAAGTGCAACTCACATGGACATGGGAAAGAAAATCCGTCCACTACCCAACACCAATGGCATAGGATCAAGGTTGTCAAACCGTTTTGTGCTAGTGTGTCGGTTTAACAAGTGAAATGGTTCGACCGGTGGTACATACCGGTTTGTGCCGGTTCATGCCGGTTAATATTACAAATAATTTACAAATACTCATATTTAAGCACGACATTTAATGTCAATACCTAAATATTTGTACTTGAATCCAACAAATAACATCAACGTTTAACTTTTTAACACATAAAATAAATAAGAAATTACTTTTTATCAAATAAATTCACTAATATAAGATCATTTTACTTAGAGATTCGTATATCGATCATGCCGATCATACCGGTGGTGTCATACCGATTTTATGACCGGTACAGGTTCAACCAGTGGCATGTTGGCCGGTGTAACAACCATGCATAGGATAGATTTTACTCAACATGGGTCCGACGTTAAAAAAATAAGTTGAAATTTATCAATGTATTGTTCATAATAAATCAAGACGTTTTTTTTATTTTTTAAAAATCTATAAAATACATTTATTGTCCAACCTAGTTGACAAATATGTCTCCTTTTAATATCATCACGAGTTCATCAACTAGTGGACTTGCAAGTGTGTTCTCTCTGTGTATTAATTGGGATAATTACAGTTTCAACACATAACGAGACAAGCAATAATCCAAAATTTACAACACCATACACTAATGATAATCCTTGAGATTTTTTGTCGCAACCGTTGCCGGTTGGGAGAGGGTTTTACAGTTTTTTTTTTTCTTCTTCTTTTTGTTAGAGAGTGAATTTGGAAGTAAATAGGAACCAGAAAATCGCGAAATTAACGATTAGATGTTTCTATTTATCGCTGGTCATTTATGTAATCGTTAAAAATAATTGAGACAAATACATCTCAATTAGTTAACCTTCAAAGTCGCGGACATGCGATAACATGATTTCTAATTGATTAGAACTTTCAATAGATAGCTCCAATAATTACTTAGGATGAACCGAGTATTAATAGAACATGAGATTAGTGGAATGTTAGATAAAATAACCCATGCATGTTGGTATATATTGTCTCAAGTAAGTAGGAAGTAGAATTAAAGTTCTATCTATTTAGGTGGGAATTGATCATGGACTTTGAAGTCCATCATTTAAGACCAAATTACCCTTTCTATTTTATTTCTCTTCTCATATCAATGAGGTCGATAAATGTAAATTTCACTTTATACATACAAATCTAATTAATCAATTCCATCATGAAATTTATGAAATAAACAATTATATTTTTCTAGTCCATAATGAACCCAAAATCCTCATATCCATGATTTTACAAAATTTAAATTTTACCAAAAACTTCATTTTTCAATTCCACGAACCAAACGAACCAAACGATGCCAAGGCAAGATGCTCCTATACATGAAAACAGTTTACCTACAATTAAAGTAGATAGGACTAAAACGTGCGTACGTGATCCTCCCTTATTTTGATAATATGATTGAACGGTCCCCAAACAAAATTGAAATGGAAAGGCTTCCATTTGAGCATTGTTTTGCCAATTAAGCCGCACGAGTGGGGTTAATTTTGGGGCTTGACTGCTTTGTGTTATGCTATGCTATGCTATGGAAATGGAT